TGCTTTTGCAAGTCTCAAGTCTCGTAAGAACACGTCTAAAGGGACTATTGAGGAATGTGTTCCCATGTTTCCAATACGTTTTCATTTCTCTCAAATTTCCCTCCTTTCCCTACAGGTGGAGATGCTAGAGCGCAAATATGGTGGGCGTTTCATAACCCGGCATGCTGCCCGCACCATACAGACAGCTTTCCGCCAATACCAGATGAACAAAAACTTTGAGCGTCTTAGAAGCTCTATGTCTGAAAACCGTATGTCCAGACGGATCGTCCTATCCAATATGAGAATGCAGTTTTCCTTTGAAGGACCTGAAAAAGTCCATAGCTCCTACTTCGAGGGAAAGCAGGTCTCTCTAACAGATGATGGCACTAAAATTGGCGCACTGAGGCAGTCAGACCATGGCGGGGAGATGGGTGTGCAGGCCAAGACCCCCACCACACAGAGCGACTTCACAGATGCCATCACAGAACTAGAAGATGCCTTTTCAAGGCAGGTGAAATCTCTAGCCGAGTCCATAGATGATGCTCTGAACTGCCGCAGCCTACATGGTGAAGACAGTCAGTCAGAGCCAGGGAGAGGCCTCCAGGATATGGACAGAGAGGTCACCTGTCAGGTGAAACCCTCCCACAGCGCCTCAGAACACCGTAAACTCGATGAGATGACGGCGTCTTACAGCGATGTCACCCTGTACATCGACGAAGAGGAGTTATCACCACCCCTGCCTCTTTCTCAGTCTGTAGACCGGCCCTCAAGCACAGAATCAGACTTGCGCCAACGTTCGCTCAACTCCTCACAAGATTATTGGTCTCTTGCTCATAAAGATGAAAAAGGGGACACCGATACCAGCTGCCGCAGTACACCTTCCTTGGAATGCCAAGAGCAACGTCTACGGGTAGATCACCTACCCTTATTGACCATAGAGCCTCCCAGTGATAGCTCAGTGGAGCTGAGTGATCGTTCTGACCGCAGCTCTTTAAAGAGACAGAATGCCTACGAACGAAGCATCAGCAACCAGCAGAGTAGCCCTAAACAAGTCAGCCACAGCCTGCCACCTCGAGGGCCGTCCAGAGAAGAAGACACTTCCCGACATCGATCGCGACAGCTGGAGGCCCATCTGGCGATCAATGGTACAGCAAACCGGCAGAGCAAGTCAGAGTCGGATTTCTCAGATGGCGACAATGACAGCATCAACAGCACATCGAACTCCAACGATACCATCAATTGTAGTTCTGAATCCTCGTCCAGGGACAGCCTGCGCGAACAGACGCTCAGCAAGCAGACGTACCACAAAGAAACTCGCAACAGCTGGGACTCACCTGCATTCAGCAATGACATCATTCGCAAGAGGCATTACCGCATTGGCCTAAATCTCTTCAACAAGTACGTCCACACGATAAAACATCACCTAACACATGATACATTCACACACTTTGGCTTGTTCAAATTAGATGCCATTCATTTCACATGACTTACAAAATGGGATTTTTTTGTTTGTTTTTTTGTCTTAGAAACTTGAAATGAACCTCACATTAAAATGCAATGAAGTTGTTTGGAACAAGAACTGTCTCTGCCTGTTCTGCGTAAAGTGCAAACAAGCTTCAAACTCCTTCTGCTCCAGTTCGTTTGAGCCCAGCTGATTCTGTTTAATCATTGCTGATTGTGGATTTGGTTTCTTTCTGAGCCCGCTATAAAATGCCTTTTAATCATTTGTGATCAACACCGTAGAGAGTTGTAGCTCTCTCCTGGCTTCTCTACGTCCTGTCCTTCATGCGACACACATTTGGCCGGGGTTAGGAGCGCAACGGGATAATCACAGATTTGGAATGTGTCCTCACCCACTCTCATTTTGCCTCTCTCTTTTTTTGGTCTCTCTTTTCTACTCTTTCCTGTGTCTCTAGGAAACCAGAAAAAGGCATTCAGTATCTGATAGAGCGAAACTTTGTTCCAGACACTCCGGTGGGTGTGGCCCACTTCCTGCTCCAGAGGAAAGGCTTGAGTAGGCAGATGATTGGCGAGTTCCTGGGTAATCGGCAGAAACAGTTCAACCGGGATGTCCTCGAGTGAGTCTGCAGCAGATCATGCCGGTGTACTCTTTTGGAATATTTGTATTTGAGGATGAATCATTTCAGGCTTTTGATTTAAGTTCACAGTGC